GGTTCCCTTTTGGGGATTGCACCGAAGGGAGTGCTCGTACCAAATGATCCCCAATGATAACCAGAAGGCTGCCTTTTCAAATTTCATACCTGTGTCAAAACTATGGCAGGGAGCCATAGGAAAAAACTCCAGTATCTTCTTGACTTTGAGGCTTTGGGATCCCCTGGATACATGCCGCCATGCACATATCCATCCCTTCCTCTTGCAGAATATGACTATCCAGCCCAATGCGGCTGAAGCAACTCCCGTATGGGTTCGTGAGGAGTTATGACAACGCCATGACCACGGGATATGTACCCCTGATTTAGCCCTTGTATTGTCCAGCCGGGTAGGGTGGAAAGGAGCCCCTTGTCCGAACATCCGCCCCAAGCCAAAGGCCTGCTGGCCACGGGTGTTCTGATTGAGACAAAACGACAAGCCAACACCAACACCCACTCCCCCCACCATCTTGTCCCTCCGAACTCCGGTCTGAGCGAAAGAAGTTCAACTGCTGCGATACCTTTGGTTTCATTCTTGGTTGCTGTTGACCCACCTGCAAAAAGTTTAACTTTTGGGGGTTTTGTGGAAAACACCATTATTTCCCAACAAGTTAAAGTCTAAAGATCCAGCCCAATAGCAGCCGAGCATTGTACCCAATAAAGTGAGCAGGTTGCCTCTTAGCCCAAACTCCCCCTGTCCCTGGCCTCACACTGCGGGGGGGCTTTCAACTTGGGCGCCGGAGGGAGGTACGGGAGCTCACCTCGTCGACACAAAGATCACCTCGCCCCTTTCTGTTTTCTATGTCTATTTGGATGTGACATCCAGGGGAAAACCCTCTAGCTATCTCTTAAAGGTGGATCTTCAACAAGCTACAATGTTCAGGACATCCTCTGAATCGTGCTTTCAAGGACCCTCAAAAGTTATCTTCACTTTGAGGGGCGGGACTGTTTGCCTGAGTAACGCACCCCCTCGTGGCTGTCAAGGTTGGCAAGGTCCTGAAAAAAACAAGATTTGAAAACACCCCTCGCACATGAATACGAAAGCAGACAAATGATGGCGCAATTATCCATATTATGCGCTAAGTGAACGGAGTAACCAAACCACAATGAGGGATTCACCCAACTGTAGCTGGCGCTGTCTGGTTTGTTTGTCCCTGCATCAAAATGCCAGCTTCAGGTCATACAATCAAAAACTCCTATTGTCTGCCACTGTCGTAGTCTCGTAGTCGCAGTCCGTTTTTTGCGCGGAACATGTCGCAAAACAAATCAAGTCTGTGATGCCGATGCCGATCCTGGCTCTGAACCTCACAACCTACAAGGTTTGAACTCCGGAAGTCCCGGCGCACGCGTCTTGAAGCGTAATTAGCCAGCCTCGCCAGAACTGAGTGCCACTACACTCTGTCGGGCGCTGCTTGCGTCCCACAGCTCGCCAAATCGGACGTCGTCGCGGCTCATGGACTCCATGTGTTTCGACACACAGCCCAGCCCGAGCCACAGTACGCTTGAACACGTTTCTCCAGGTGTGGGACGGCCAAAGGTACGTTTGAGCAGCTAAGCGGACATGGGCAAATCGGGTTGTCCCCTCATTTGTTGCAGGGACCAATCGACTCACATCACGAGTTTGTGTTGAGGGCGCCCTATTTTCAGGGTGGTTTGAGAGGGAGACCAAGCGAAAAACCAGCTGGGCATGCGCTCACCCTAGGGCCACGGCCAATCGGCTGAGGTGCCGGCGCCTCAGCGAAATTGCGAAAATGGAGCTTTGTGGGGGCGGGCGATCATCCAACCAGAAAGAGGCCTTGTCCTTGGCCCACATCTGAAGGCACACAGAAAAGGATGTGTTCTGACTCTGCGCCATACTTGGTCGGAGGATCAAGTTTTGGGGCTTGACGGGCTTCCCGGTTTTACACTTCACTAATTGGCAAAACAAATGTGCAAACTTTTGGTTTGCCACGCCCATGGTGTTCCCAACAACTCTGGTGGCAAAAGGGAACTCCAAAAACGCTTCAAAGAACCTTTTGTGGGGGACGGGAAGGGTGTCATTGAAATGTGCGTGTTTAGTCCAAGGCCCCCTTGCCACTGTGCCACTGGGGAAGCGGTGCCCCCTTATCACACGTCTGATGCACAGTCCGCCAGGAACCTTCATGGGTTTTCGGTCGCACGAAAAACCGAACAACAAAACTCGGGGCCCACTGAGTCACTGCAGTGGATCGCTGTGCCCAGTCTGGGGAAGACAATCTGTCTCTCTCTCTTTCTCTCTCTCTCGCTGTGAGAGGTAGTGGAAACTATCGTAGAATCTAGAAGCCCCTGTTGATACTTAGAAGGGGCCGCCATGGCAGGTTCCCACTACCCAAGGAAAAATGGCTTCCACTTCCCCCAAGCCACTACCCCAAAGAACATGGCGCCTCATATTTCCAGAACCCCTTCCCACCCTCACCCCCTCCCGCTCCCTGCCTCCATCTGCTTCAGCGGGGGTTCTTGCAGCTTGGGCGCTGGTGGGCAGTCCGGGAGCTCACCTCGGGGAGTCTTGCGCTTTCGAAAGAAATGCCAAACTGCGCGCTCGCCTTTCGAAAATGACAAACTGCCCCACCAAAAGGCTGAAGCCAAGTTGGATCAAACGTGGGGGAGCAAGTTTTACAAGTGATGATCTTTCATTCAATATTAGCCCGGAATATGGGTTTGTCTCATCTTGAGGCTAGCCCTTTGCGGGCTTGGTTTAAGCATTTTTTTGGGCCACCGTTTTGAGACAGACCTATGATATAAGCAACGAACGTCTTTCCCAGAAAAGGATATGAGACAATTGGGTGGTCCACTGACTTCAGTGGGTACCTTGCGTGGTCCCCCCATTTCCCCCCAAACAAACAGCAAATCCTCAATAAGATTATCAGGTGCTGTGGGAACGATTCCATTCAAACGTTCCGGCCGGACAAATCCTTTTTGGCACCCTGGCTTCAGCTTACTCGTGACTGGGAATAAACTGGCCCAGATGCATCTGGACCGAAAGGCACGGGCGGGAACCCCCATCAAAAACAGACTTCTAGAAGGTGGAGTCCTTGTGATGCTGCCGGAAACTCAAGAAGGCAACAAGTTAAAAGGCGAGCTCCTGTGGATGGGCAAAGTCCACTTCTCTCCACTTGGCAGGCAGGTGACTTGTCCCAGCATCAAAAGGCTTCCTCCATCCCATTTGTGCCTAGCGCGTTTTTTTGGTCCAGCCACAGAAAGCTCAGAACAATTGAGTCAACATAACCAACCTCACCCGAACTTGTACATCCAGGCAGCTAGCCAAATGTCAGGGTTCTTTTGAAACCTGTCCCGACCTCTCCTTTGTGTCCTTTTCAGGACATTCACGGGCGGCGAACATCCACAGGTCGGGCGATTCTCCAAGGCAGGGGCTGGGCTGCTCCTGAGCAACCAGCATAAAACCCCCCAAACAACGTTTTAGAGGAGGTCCTTTGGGGGGGGCCCTTGTTGGGTTCCATTGTTAATCTGGGCATGAGCTCAACATTCCCCATCTCCACTCCCACCCTGATCGAAAAGTGGTCAGTGAATTTGGTTGGCGAAGTGCTGAACATCATCATTCTCGCTTTGTTGCACTTCCTTAGCAAGCCACAAGGGCGTTTTTTTTGCTTGGCACGCCTGTTTGGCACCCAGCTGAACATCCTTTCAGTGCACACTGCTAGTTGCTCGGATTCTTCAGACCAAGTTGCCTGTTTGCAGTGAGTTTCACCGCTTACTTCTTCTTGTGTGGCGGGTTCCGACCCACTAAAAATGCAACCAAACAAAACAAGGCTCCCACTCTCCTTTTTTACAAAGGTCTTTGGGCAACTGACCCCCTCTTTGCTTGCTTCGTCTTGCCGACCTTCAAGCATCCAATTAGCCGGGGCTGTCATGTGATGCATTTGCAAACCCAACCTTCACCCAACTAGGGGTGACACATCTTTTTCCCGGTGGGGAACCCTTCTGCCGCTCATTAAACTGACAAGAAGAAAAGACCGCCAGCTCTAGTTCCTGATCCTCTCAGTCTTTCCCGGGATTGTTTCTCGCGCGGGGGGTGGGTTCTTGTTCGTTCTGGGCTTGATTCCAACAGATCCACTTACCACGTGGTTCAAGCCTGGCGAACTATACCCTCGAGGAGAAGAGAAAAAAGGGTATAGTATTCACTGCTTGCTCAGCTGTGGTAGTAAGAGTTAATGTTTTGATTGGAAGCCAAACATTGCTTTGTACATATCTTGGTCTTCTACCTCAACATTACATTTGGCACCTCATCGAAATAGATCCATATTCGGGACCTACGAGGTTCAATTTCGGGGCCCACCTGGGATCCCCTATTTCCAACCTCAGGGGAGTCCCCCCCGTTCACTACCAAGAGGGTAGGGACTGTATAGCACATACACAAGGTTAGGGCAACATGTACCCATCGCAGAAGTGGTATCCAAGCAACCACCTGCAAGGGGACATGACATCCCCCGACTGCCCTCCTTTACTCGATGGCACTGCATGCCTGCTACCGAGGTAAACCAGGCAGGTGCCGATTTGAGATTCGAGCATGACAAGATCCACAGGCAACTCAGGCGTGTTTCGCCCTGATACAAGTTCACAACACAAACTACCAGGCGATTTTGCGGCACAAAGCCCAGAAACAACACTGGCCTATGCTTGTGGCATATGGTGTCAACCCCAGATTGAACTTGCTGGGTTGGAAGGGGATTTGTCAATCAAGGATTTTTTCATGGATGAACTCTAGACAGGAGATGATTGCAAACTCGCATATGCTCACTTGCCCCTTGTAGACGTGAAACAATAAGGTCCGGCTTCCTATGGAAATGCCAAAGTCCGTCGTTGGGGGGCAGTACGTCTTACGTAAAGGACGACCTTTGCTCCTAGGAACACATGACACCGGATTCGCAGGTTGCTCAAAGGGAAACTGTTGACTTCAAAAGGAAGCCCGCGCAGCTTCATGATGTTGAAAGGGATGTGTCCATGCCTCAAAAAAAAACAGGGAAGGAAGGTGATCAAGTAGCCCTTTCAGTACCAAGGCTCCCACCTGAACAAAGGGGAGCCACGGAAAAGCTCTTTAACCCGTGGTCCTTTACGGAAGGGTTTGAGCCTTTGGATCAGCAACCCTTCTATCAACACATCGCACCCCTGAATTGGAGGGCTACAGGAGCAAGTCATGGTTTAGTCAAAGAACGCCGCGAAAAAGAAAAACAACAACTCGGAACTCATGTAACGCGGATCGAAGGGGGTGCAACCCCCATAAGTGATCCGCATCCCCTCCTAAATGAGACACGCCAACCACCCAGGGCTGATTACGCGGCTACCTCAGCTGTTGCCCCAACCAAAATTAAGAATGTGCTATCATTGTGTGCCATTTGTCCATTCTTCGTAAACCTCAAAACAACCCGGAAAAAATGTAAAACAACAGATTCCAGAATCCTGGTCCCGTCGGCCGAACCCTTTGGGAATGATTTGAGTTCCCTGCAGATACCAACAAAATCCAACAAACACTGGTTTCAACCATGGTTTCACTTCGTGGTGCGAATTGGACTTCGAGACCCCAGTTTGAAGGACACCCCCCCCCCTCACGCCCCACCTCCGCCTGTGGCGGTGGGGGAGCTTGCAACTTGGGCGCCGGAGGGCGGGCCGGGAGCTCACCTCGGCACGAAGATCACATTTGAAAGCAGAAAGCTTGGAACCCTTTGGGGGGCAGTCAACGGTTCTGTTCTTTAGTCGGGACCAAGGAAAAAAGGTGGTCACGGCACAACTGGACCCAATTTACAACTCACGTATGGCGGTCTGACGCCATATCCCGTGGATAAGTTGCATGCAGCCCAAAACCCAGGGGCCCAGTGGCCCAGGCCCTACTGAAATTTCAGGGGTTGAAAAGTTTAAACTTTTCGATTCCAGCGAAAGGGAAGACAAATGAAAGCTTTTGAAAACAACTTGGGAAAGTGCTGGACACTTGGAAGCGTTCCCCCTCAAACCTCGCGGGGGAACCCCACTACCCGTCCCTTTCGGGGTGACCGGCCCACTTCGCAAGTGGGCGAATGAATCCCCCAAGGACTTTGCTCCATACCCCACGGGCAGGAACCTCCTGGGGTCCTGGCTGGCCTGGGCCTGCTGGGCCTGCTCCTGAGCGAGGATGGGATTTGTCACTTTTCCTTAATCGAAAGTAAAGGATCTCTATAATGAGAGGAGGCCTTGTCATGGGCCTTTGGCCAGCTCGGGCGTGGCCTCTCCGCCGCGCCTTTTCGCCGACCAGGGACTCCTCCACCCGCCGGAAGGTCGCGGTGTTTGCCGCCTGCGGGGAATTGGCTGATGCTCGGGGAGGATTGCTATTGGCCTGGGTCGCTTTGCCCCCCAAAAAAGTGGGAGATGTTTCTCTTTTCGTAGTGGTGTTCCCCAACTCTGGGACTAAAGTTTGAATGGCCCAGGTGCTCCATTTCCCCGAGCCTCAGAAAGGTGGGCAGTTGTTTGATTGTGACGGCATGGGCCAGTTTGAGACGCTGTCCCCAAAACGAAGCTGCAAGGCTCCGTTGGAAGGCTCCGGCTTTCCAAAGGTTTCTGGGGGTATGGAGCAATAGGATTCCAGGTTCTGGGAGGTTCTGCTAGATAGCTCCATCTTCTCTTGGATGTCTGCCACCCCACTGAATATTAAGTGCTCAATATCCCTTGTCAAGCAATAAGTCCCCCAAGTGGAGCACGTAGAGGGCCAATCTCCCTGCTCAGGGATGTATAAACTGGGACATCAAGCACTTTCTGCCCGGGGTGGTCATCCAACCCCAGCCCACCAATACAACCCAAGCAAAGCCGCTTCGCTTCCAGCTTTTCGGGGGCAAACGGGAGCAAATGATCGCAAAGTGCACAACAAATGCATTTGAATTTTGGAGACCCAAAGGGAAGCCACCCATTTGGGGGGGCTGGAACCCCTTGGACATAAACCCTAATGAGCCAACAAGAAGCCTGCCTGGTTGGGGATGGCCTTGGATCCTCGAGAAAGGATTCTAGACAACCACACGGACTCCCTCAGTTGCCTAACGATACCTTTTGTGACCTTGACTGAATATTTAATATGTGGACCAAAACGGGAAATCAAAAGGTCAAAACTCTGCTTCATTTAGCCAACCCGCTGACTAACGAGGCGACCGCCGATCCATCCGATCCAAAAGCAAAAGCGTTCCGCGCCGACTCGAGCAGTGTCGGGGTCGCCGGCACGCGCTCCGTCTTGTCCAGGTCCTGGTTCTGGGCCCCGCGGAATCCCGCGGATTGCTCACGAGGTCAAAAAGGAGGGTCGGGGGGGGAGGGGGAGATTTGTTTCTTTTCTTTTTTTTGGGGGGGGGGGGGAGTTTTTGTGTTTTTGTTTTTTTTTTTTTTTGGGGGGGGGGGGGGATTTTGCTGGTCGAAAAAAAAGCAAACCGAAGGCAAAAACAATGATCCGCATGAACAATCAGTCATACCCACCCAATCAATGAGTTCAGCTGGCACGTATTTGGAGTCTCGCGGAATGGGACATCAATCGGCCCATGTGCCAAATGCCTTTTGCGGGCGGGGGCCTCATCTCTGGCTTGCGTTGCGTTGACTATTCGTGGCTCCTGCTTCCCAATGCATTCTCCGGCAGCGCTGGTTGCCGAAAAAGTTCAACACTTTACAACTTTACAAAAACAGGTGCGTGCCCCTTTTTTTTCGAGGGAACCTTTTTGGGGTTGCCATCAAATCCGTGGTTTTTGGCGGGTGTTCGGCATAATTATTTCTTGTTTTTTGCTGGAGACCGTTTCTTAGAATATGCTTCTGGAATCCTTGATGCCTGAGGAATCCGGGAAGGGCACTTGCAAGCCTCCCGGCGCCAAGCTGCAAACATCACCTGTTTGGCTCATGTTCAGGGTGAGCGTCCCTAGGTGACGTTGAAAGGATTTTGACGCTATGATTCCGATCTCCCCAAAAGATAGAACTTGGCCAGCAAACGCATGACCGGTTCTGCCAGAGTTGTGGCATTTGCTTGACAAAACCTTGATAGATGTCTTCGTAGGCTTCCTCTCGGAGGTATGCCCTAAGGGGCGAAAGGAAAGCCTTGCCGATTGCATCCGCACGCTTAGAACGCGTCCGGGCACTTCGGCAGGGGTCCAAATTGCAAATCTCAATTGCAGATGGAAGCCCAGGAGAGGAGGGTAGATTAATAGGGGGCGTCCCACTAGAGAACATCCTCCACTTTTTTGGGGAACCCCTTACTTTTCTGCAAGGTCGGTTTGGTCGGGGGCAACATCAATTCACTTTTTCAGCCGGGGCTGGTACAGAAACGGAATCATCCCCTTTGGGATTGATTCTATTTTCAGTCAACCCCCCCAAACAAAAGAAAAACTAGGAAATGGCTGAAAAACTAGGAAAGGATGCCGCTGAAAAACTAGGAACTGGCTTTTGAGTTTTGGCCGCGCAGAGGTTTCCAGCAAATGCGTACTTCGTGGAAATTTGGGATTGCCCCTCCCCAAAAGCAAACGGTATCCTCGCATAAGCGCATGAGAGGGAAGGGGGCATCAAAGGACCCAACAAATTGATGTTTCCCGTCTGCCTACCCTTTAAACATCAACCAAAAAATGTTTTACCGTTTTGAGACAACCCTTTCATTCGTCGGTCGCCGTCTGCTTTCCTGTCGCTCACATTTCGCGAATCTCCCACCTTGGTGTCATCAAAGGGGGCGGCCTGGCATCGCCCAAGCTCAAGGAAACCAACCAAGCAGCTAAGTGACGGAAACCGCCCCCCTTTTGGTTGTTGATTTTTAGGAAAACACACCACTCCCTGCTTTTGTTTGTTTGCAGGACGGGGGTTCATGTAAGGGAAGATGTAGGCTGTTCTCAGTTCTTTGCTGTGATTTTAGAAAGCAAACCTCAATGGATCTTAAACGAAATCCCACGCTAAAACAAAGAAGACGTCCCGCTCCTCCCCCCCCAAGCAAACATGCATGAGTCTGAACCGTGAAAGAATCAGGCACCACTGGTTCCACTAAAGCGCCATCAAGATGACCCTCATTTCTTTCCAGGGGATTGCCGCTCCCAAAAGACACATAAGCAACACCTCCAAACTCCACTTCAGGAGGCCCAGTGGCTCTATGGGCCCCCGGTCTTCCGACGAACCGCGCCTGGGTTTGCTCCATGTGGGCCTTGAATGCTGCGATCTCCTCTTGGGACCAAACCCGGGCGCGGCTCTTCTCATCACCTCGAAGCGCCCACTGGCATGAGTTGACTTCCGTACAAGAGGTTTGGAAGTGAAGAAGGTCTTCAAAGCTGTTAGCTGCCGCGAAAACCCCCCGAAAAGTGACGCATCAATCTCTATTCCTTCCAGAAGCCCCGGGGATGGACAAAAACTACTTGATGGAAGAAACCCTGGGATGGGTTTGAAGGAAACTCCCATTTGGTGTGTTTGCCCATCTAGAGACACACACATATAAACTGGTTCAGAGCCATACTGCGGATAGAAACAAGCGGCTTTGCTGCCAACGATGACTTGGTTGGCTCCATGTTGACCTTCAGCAGAGTAAAGGTGACAGTTCCAAGAGAATCCAAGGCTTGGCTTCCTGCAGCCGGAAGAAACCCAATGAAACCACTACAAGGGACTAAGTAATTGGGCTTGTGGAGGGCGATATAACCATTTGAGCCATGATGCTAGGAGTAAAATGTGGCTTGGTGTCAGTTCTTTGGCATCTCATATTGGTTAGATATGTTCCCACTGCTGCTGGGCGCAGGGTGAGTTCAGTGCTTTGGCTCGGAGGGAGCTCCCTGGCACTGGTCGCAACCTACACTGGCAATGCCCGACCACTTGAATGGACCTAGCCGTTGCCAACCTGAAATAAGGAGTGCCCAGCTAAGAACCTTTCATCATTGAGCCCGAGCTCGCTTTACCCCCCGTGAAATAGCAACGGCGTGCTTTTGGTTTCCTGTTTAACACCACCCATACCCATCCAAAGGACCTGCTCAGTCCAAAAGCAACGAGGGCACCTCGCAACTCTGTCGACCACAAGGGTGTCATGACTAAGGCGGAATCTGGGTGCTAAACGGGGGGTGCTAAGCAAATTAAACACCTGTACGTCCCCTTGGGTTTCCCTTGGGGGGAAATCACATTTTGTGGGCCCGGGAATGCATGAGTCCATCGATGAACCGCCTATGAAGCCCCAGTCTCTGGGTGAAGGGGCCATCAATTTCGGGTTGATTAAGGAGAAGCCGCCTCTAAAGCAGTCCAAAACGGCCATGGGTTCCCAAGCTGGGTCAATGCCAAACAAGGAGTGAAAGAACCGAAGGGAAAATAAGCTGCTTCAAGCTCTCTCGCCATCTAAAGGCGACGAGCCCACGTCAATGTGTGACGTACCACAAAAATATACAAAACTTGTCTTCGGGAAAGCTAGCAGAAAGTCCAGGAACTCGGGGAGTGTATTTGCATCTGCCATTTGCGATCCATACGAGCTCCTGCCACTGCCTCCATTGGCCCATTGGGGAAACCAAACCGGGCATCCCGGGCGAATCTTGCGCACAGCGAGGGCGCGCCTGACCTCCTGCGGGTTTGAAGGCAGGGCAGAACGCCTTGGAACTGAACGCCAGTATGTTTTGGGGGGATCCCTGGGTTTGGGTTGATCCCCTGAGAAGCAGCAGGAGTTAGTTGGACGTGACATCCTCGAAATGACCCGAGCTAAACGGTGATAAGGGAAACTGGACCCCAAAGTCATTTTGAGAACTCCTCAAAATGTAACAACTTGAAAAGAGCCTTCATCAACCCGAAACCAGTTTCAGGTATAGGTATCGAAATTCATTGCGTGAGTTGGGGGTGCAAGGCCGGGGTAGCCCAGGCTTCCCCAACCTCCCGAAGGAAACCTTCCACTTGGGCGCCCCAAAGTGGCTAGTTTGCTTTCCGCCCTCCCAAAACAAGATCTGACGACATGCCCGCCAAAAACCCATGGCTTCCCTTTAACCGAAGTGGACCAACCAACCTCTCGCACGCCCTTCTGCAGAAGCACACGCCTCCCCGGCGAATTGCCACGTCTGGGGTTGCCCAGTTTGCCTGCCTTCTCAAAGTTGTTGTTCATCTTGTCCGGGTCAAAGAAGTCCGAGCCTGCAGCTCCGGCACGCCCAAATGGGCGTGTGTACAGGTGTTGTTTTTCAAATCGGGGATTAAATTCTCGGGGCTGAATTCTCGCCCGAGGCCGGAAACAAACTTCCTCGAGGGCCAGGTATTTTGTGTGGAATCACCGCTTGCTCACTCACCTGCTCAGTGGAGAGTCCAAAAAGCGGAAACACTCCACGAAGGAAAAATGGAACCCCTCTCCCAGTGTCATTTTTACGTTGGCTGGAATTGCGCGACTTAAGCAAATGCATGTTTGGCCGAAGCGCCTTGGTACTCCCGCAGTTCCTTCTTGGAGAGGTACGGGAAGCTGTCGCCCTTGTCCTTCGGCCCAAGGGACAAAGGCTCAATCTGTAGCCAAACGCAACACGAACCACGTGATCCGTCTAGGGATTAGGGGGGTGGTTCTTTTCAACCACCCAGTTTGGTGGCTCAACCTCAGTAAGAAGCGACGTGCCTGTTGAAACTGAAGTGGGGCCTGGCGGGGGTGGCTCCCGAACAGCTGGGTTGCGCCAAGGCCAAATGCAGCTAGAGAGGGCACCGCAAAGGGGGCACGAGGCGGCTCCAAGGGAGGCGACGGCACAATGGCGGCCCGCGAAGGGAAACCGAAGGAAGCCAAACCAATGCTCTAGGGCTGGCTGGTTATCTTTTGGAGGCTCGGGGACCGGGAGCGCCGACGGTTTTTGCCTGAACCCCTGCTAGTGTTCACTCAGCTGATTCCACAAGCGGAAACCCCAAAGAGCAAACAAGTTATTTACTTCAGTCAGACACTGAAACATGGCCCCAGGCGCTTCGAAGTGGACCTGCGGCATGTAAACGCCGTTCTACCTGTCTGTCCTCATCATCATCCGAATCCAACTCCGGCATCTCCTGCTCGAGGAAGTCCGCGCTGCCTTGTCAATCGCATACTTACAAATCATCACCATGTCATGCGTTCTTGGGGGTAATGTCTTTGGGTTGGTTTCATTGGAAAACACAGGACAACAACAATTGCTTGTCGTTGCCCTAGGGGCAGAAAGCCCCTTACAACCAGAGGTTGGAGAGTTAAAACATATCACAAATAGCTTATATGCTGTTCTAAAGGCAGCTTTCCTTTTTGGGAAAGGCCTGTCCGCTTCCATGATTGTTGAAACGAGGGTGTCTGGCCCTGCAAAAGGTCCACGAAAGTGACATCCTCAAAAACCAACTCTGGAAGATGATCTAATTTCGGGAAACACGCTCAAATTGCTCCTGCTAGGACATACTTCCCCGCGCGACAGGTTTCGTGTTCATAGATGTTCAATGACATTGGACCGCCCGCCACCCGCCCACCACAGAGACTACTCTGACAGCCTACTAGACGGCTGCAACAAGGGGTGACAGACAGCTATGACAGGAGCCGACAGCCGCGACAGGCCGAAGCCTGAGGCTCCACCAGGATGTCTGCAGGTCAGGTTGGATGCGGCTGGGGACTCGACACATTGGAGCACCCTGGAAGGGAGCCCCCACCAAACAGGAAGCTTCAGCATCAGCTGCGGCTGCTTTTTTGGTTGGGCTGCCTTGCTTTCATGTTGGTTCGACTGAGTCGCCCTCGCATCAGCCAGCAGCATGCTTGAGGCCCAGCACGCAGTCGGATTGACCTTTTCGGTGGGATCATTCGAAGTCAAGTCATTTTTTGTTAACTTCTTGGTTAGCAGAAAACACAAGTTCGAGCTTGCCCTGAGGGCCTGGATGTCAAAGGTTGGCCTCCGGTTACCTTGACTACATATGGACCAACAGAGAACGTATCCTCTTGGAAGATATCCTGACACGCGTCCACCCGCTGGAGATCTGGCCGGAGGTCTTCGTGCGTGTTAGCACCACCGGCAGCCACCAGTCCAACAGTCACAGCCACTTGACGAAACAGAAAACCCGAAAGGTCAGAAGGTTGAGTAAAGGTCAATGGTCAAAGATCCAACCAAAAAGCATCCAAGTCCCTTCGCATTTTGCTTCCAGCTGAAGGCCCGCACCGGGCCGCTCCTTGACATACTGAGCCTGCGGGGGCATGGGCCAATGGCGCGTGTTTGCTAAGCTCCAGTGGCTCCCTATTGGTTCAGAACTCATGGCTTGGGAAGCGATTGAGCATTGCGCTAGCAACCAGCCACGACGAAAAACATCGTTCGTTGGTTTCGCGCAGCCAGCCGGCAACAAAATACAAGTCGAACAGGTTTGTTGACATCCACCTCTAGTTTGAAGAGCCCGAGTCCCCTGGAAGCAAAGAAGCTAGGACTAGAGGAGGGGAAGGGCGTCACACCCATCTCCAAGCCTCTTGTGGCGCCTCTGGCAAGGCTTGACTTGGAGGCAGCGTCAAATCAAAGCATGCATGAGGTTGATTCGAACTTACCCCGAAACCAGCTGACTCCACTTCTAGCCGTTTCAAGTTTCCTTTCTGCCAAGTGGGCAACATCCTGAACCAGTTGGGATGGATGAAGCCTAAAGAATACTGGGCTTAGCAATCCGCCAACTTCCCGCCACAGGCTCATTGGCAATCATCTGGGCTCACTTCTGGGGTAAAAACCTCACCATGTTGGGGTGCGTTCAGAAAAGGATTGTGGTTGCTGCGGCTTCCGGAAACCTTCCGGTTGTGATGAACTAGCTCATGGCCAGTGAAGTGGGAATCCCCTGCTCATTTGCGATCCGTCCCTGAAAGAGCCAGAACATCTGGGTCCATTCAAGTGACATCCTCAAGCCTATCCTCTACATGGTCAAACAATAAGAATCATGCTAATGATAACAATAATAATAATACTAAACATAATGATAGAAAGGAATTTGGGAGCCCCTCAAGATGCCACCACTGTCAACCCAGACCCCCCTTCCCAATCCATGCCGCGCCTTGCGGGGCACTCGTTTCAAAAGCTCTTGCCCCAGCGGGGAGCGGAAGCAGTCGGAGACTGGGCGCGGCGCGAGCAACGCGCTGCAGATATCCTGGGGAGCCTGTCGTAAAGAATCCGCCTGCTGCACATATGTTTTTCCCTTCCCCCGCACCCCACGAAATATGACAGGTACACACATTGGTCAGGGCTCGGTGGTCGGAGAGTACCCCGGCACCCGCTATTCGGCGATCCTTTCACCGCATAAGCGTGTCGCTTGTTGTTGGCTGTTTGGAAGTTTTTATGATCCAGACCTCCGGTGATGCCCTTTGTTCCATTTTTTGGAGGCTATCAAGTACGCTACAATGGATGCCCTCTTTTTTGTCCATGGCCACTGTTCAAAGGCTCACCTTCAGATCCCGGACCACCCCTCTGCAAACTGAGGAAGAGAATCGGGCTCTCTTCTGCTATGCGCTTGAGAAATTTTGATTGAGCTCTTCTTTGGAGCAGACCAAGGAGGGGGTCGGGGGTTCAAGGGGCTTCTCCTGGCCACAATGCGGATTTCCCAGCTCCGTTGTCGCCGGGGCCCGTGCAGTGAAGATTCAACGCCTCGGAGCCAACGCGATCCATTGAAGCGACGTCCGCAAAATTACCCAAGCTCAAGTCCTGAAACTGTAACCACTTTAAGGGTCCGCAAGCTGCAGGCACATCCGAATCGCAAATGGCAGGGAACATCTTGGTGGAAATCTTGGGGCGGAAACTCTTGTTTTGCTGATCATTGTGCTCAGAATGACTTTTCGGGTTGCGACTTACTTTGTGATTTTTGTTGGGGGGGCCCAAGCAGGAAATACATAGCCACCAAAACTGATTCCAGTTAAATTCAAAGGAATTGTAGAAAAACACCGCGCAATGCCCGCGAAATACATCTACCTGCAAACATATGTAGATATATATATATATGTATATATCTCAAAATCTATACGCAGGCAACTACATGCATGCGTGCGTATGCATGATGCACGCGTGCTTGTCACATATTTTGCATCTGCAACATCGTTCCTTCGTGCAAGCAATTGAATGGCAAAAGGGCACCAGGCCAACAAGGCTGTCATTTCTGGCAATTGTCTTCACGAATTGAGTTTGTTTGTTTCGGTATTGATGTTTTTTGTTTACTTCCTGGGGGTGCCCCGATGCTTGTTAGCGGAAGAGGGTGTAGGGGTCATTTCGCAACAGGCCACTTGTGCAAATCATATCCAGGTGGCACATCACAGGCCACACTTTTCACGGCGACGGTGCTTCATCCGCGCGCCTTTGGCGCATTTTCATCGAAGTGCCAAAAAAGGACACACTCTGCCCAGATTTGCCACCACCGACCCTCACAGCAGCCACAGACTGAACCCCAGGTTGCTAGGTCGCTCCCTTCGAAGGTTTGAACGATACTGAGAGCAACCTTCGACCAAAGAGGGGCAATCAAGCCAAACAACTTGCTCCATCTGCTCACAAGGCCAGTGTTTGGATCTCGTGAGAAAGCCTTGTTCCTCGGAAGCTGTTAGCGTCGAAGAAATATCCAAGGATGTCCATCAGTTGCCAATCTGCCATGTGCTCTTTAAAGTGCGAGCCTGAATTAAGTGGGCACTCCCACAGGCTGACAAAAAGACCAGGTGGGTATGAAATTTAGCTCTCTTGTTCACTAGAGGTGCTTGTGTCCACCAAAGGAAGTACACGCCCGGGCACACGGATCCATATATAACTTATAACTCACAAAGCGCAAGCAACTGCAGCCAACCGAAGGGGGGGGGGCCGTGACGTCCGTGAAAAGCAAAGGGTCAAGTGATTCACAGGCCTACATTTGTTTGGCGACTTCGATTGGAGCTTTGGAGGCAATAAAAGTGCATGGTTTCCGCTTCACCCGAAGATCAGCAAGGGGTTCTGCCTTCCCAACGACCAATATGCAAGGCACGTGCCGCGAGTTAGGTAACGATGGCACACCCAAACAACACCGGCTACATCTCAACAACTGCCCCAGGTTAGTTCCCAAAACCTGCCTTTCTTGTGGCGCAAGGAACCCAAATGAGTATGAGGTTTACTTGAAAACCCTCATAGTGACTATCATTTAGGTGGGGATTTGGGTCTACCCATGTTTTGTCTGGGGGGCATCCAACTCAACATGGCCGGCTGGGAAAACGGGCGACGGATGGCAGCTTTCGCCACGGAATGTCGGTGCCACGGCTTCTGCGATTCGCTGTGAACCTCGACATGTAGCATGGGGGTTTGAGAAAAAAAATGAACTTGACTTCAGAAGCTGAAAGGTGAATCTGAGTGGCACAAGGCTGAAATCCATCGTCAGGGCGCCGTGGCTGGCCGAGAGGTGGAGTGATACAAATCCCCGGGCCGGCCGAGGTCGGTGAAACGCTTCAGGGGCTGATGCCTCACCACCGGCAAACCGAAGAAGTCCTCCTTGGAGCAGCTCCGTGTGGCTTGTCGCGAGCCCAACCTAGGCTGGTTTGGACCTCCGTGGGTTGGGAGAGGGGTTCTTGGAGGGCTGATCCTAAAGGTGAACCCGAATTGAGACAAGCTGTCCAACTGGTTTGCTGGTCAGTCGGAAAAGTGTCCAAATGCCAAAGGTTGTCCAAAGAGCCATTAGACTGTGGTTGTGCCCAAAATTGCACTTTCTGTGATGCAAACGTGGACACTTCGAATTGCTTCAAAGTCACAGAAAGTGGCAACATGAGTCAAATCCAAACGGGGCAAAGGCCAAACCAAAGACCCCCGACTTAGAACCTTCATAAGATTCCTGAACGGGTTCTGACATGCTCTGACTGAAAGAAAGACCCTGTGTGCAATAAGGGGATGGGTCGAGCTGAACTACGGATAGAAGCGACCGAAAGGCACATCACTGCATGGCCATGCTGGTTACAGAAGGCACATCACATGGCCCAAAGGCACATCACCTCAACGCAAAGCGCTTGGCCACGCCACTTGGACGAACAGCGCCAAATTACATGTTGGATGGCCAGACACATGAGCCCTAGCGCGAGAATGGGTCGAGATTTAATTTGGATTTTACTGTTGTTTTATTTTGGGATTTTCTTTGTTTTCCGTCCTGGCTACTAAAATGCTGTAATTTACAGCATGTTCTCGCGAAATGTACGTATTTTACGCTAGTCCGTCAACATCATCAGCATCGTTTGTAGGCATTTATGTATGCATGTTAAAAAGAGGGGCGGGTCCCCCTCATGATGGCAAAAGCGAGGATTCAAATACGGGCAAACTAATCCCTGCAAACACCTAAAACGTAGCGGGGGGGTTGGGGGGGGGGCGGCAGCCCCCCCCAAAATGATTGAACAAGTGATGATCTCTGCCAAAAATCCAAAAAGTAGCGGGGGGGTTTGGGGGGGGGGGCGGCAGAGTAGTCGGGGGCCTCGCCCCGCAAATAAATTGCTTCATACATACACCCCCCCCTACACTTTTTTTCATCTTCCATCTTCTACCCTTATTTGTTTTCATCATTTTTCTACATTCCTTTCTGTCCATCTCATCCGTTTTTTTATCATCATTTTTCCAAAATTTTCGCCATCCTTTTCTCCTTTCTCCTCGCCTCATTCATTTCATCATATACCTCTCAAAATGTAATTTCCTCAATCTCCTCACCTCATCCATTTCAAAAAAAGAAATTTTGCAAAATATATTGCAAAAAATATTTGTCATCAAAAAAATATTCGAACTGTCTAAAAACGATTTGTCCATTTCCCGGACAAAAAATAGAACAGCAACAACATCACTCCCCTCTCTCGTTTCATCAGTTTCATCATCACTCCTCATCAGTAAATGATACAATAGTGTTCATATTATTGTATCAATCACTCTAAGTTTCCCTATGCTTCTCCATTATGTGTTTCTCCCATTGATACGGTAGAAAACTGGCTCTACATGTCAAGCACCTAAAATGCTTTTTGCCATCTATGATTTTGATTTCATCAGGTTCTGGCAGTTTCTCCTCAGGGTTCTCGCTTCTTCTCAGGTTTCCTTGATGCCATGCTGTTTTCTCGTGTCTTGCTTTGCTTTTTAGTTGCACTTCAACATCACATAATGGACAGTACTGCGTTCTTGTTTTGTATTCCTTCATGTATTCTCTTTGCCTTTCTTGGTATTTTTCAGGATTGTTCTTTCTATCTTCCCTTCTGTATTCTCTGT